TTGTGGAAGTTTTTAAAACGAGGTGATGACGTCTGACTATATCCACCTCCTCCAGGTGCACGGTCAGCGTCAGTCTGACAAACATAACACATACTGTAAGACAGCCAGTCAAGTTCCCTTGTATTCTGAAAATAATTGTATAGTTTAGTCATATGTCTGTGTTGGCGTGTCTGCCTGTCCGTCAGTTTGTCTTTGCAGCTAACGTTAATTGGCTGGGTGTGAGTTACCCCTAAGAATATTCTTCTCATGGCTGAAAATCAGCTGGAGCAACAAAGCTGAAACACACAGATCGTACGTCCACAACAGCTCCTTTTTCAGTGTTAGAACATATTCCACAAATATTAAGAATTCTGTATTTGCGGCTCTTAACGTCCCCTTTTCTACGTTTTTCTGAATCAGAATCAGAAATACTTTACTGATCCCCTCGTTGTTGCTGAACAAGGCGTTAAAGAAAATCGGAATAATAATAAAAATGTTGGAAAGTAGAAAATAAAGACCAGAAAATATAAAATCTAAATAGGAGTGAGGAAATATTCTACAGTATGTGACAGAAGTGTGGTGGCAGTAATAATGTACAGGTAATAAAGCACATTCAGCAACATTTCAAGGTCCAGTTAAGGAATGAAGAGTCAGAGTTTCTGAGTTGATCTAAACGTAAAGCTTCAAATCATTTTTCCCAGTTGTGAAGTAAAATAAACCACATTTACTACAAAATTAAAGGCAAAATAAAGATCAGACTGTAACAGCTCCCAGCATTAGGGCTGCAACAACAACTGTTTTCATTACTGATTAATCTGCTGATTATTTTCTCGATTAATTTGGTCTATAAAATATCAGCAAACAGTAAAGAAGGACCGTTATAACATCCTAAATGTCCTGTTTGGTTCAACAAACAGCCCCCAAAACCAGAAACATTCACTTTTCTGGGGTTAAAGACAAAGAAAATCAGCTAATTCTCACATTTGAGAACCTGGAACATCAGTTTAAACAATTAATTGATAACAGTAAAAGCAGAGGATGGGAGTTTTACCTGCTGCGTCCTCGGCGGGGTGATGTCTCTGTGTTCAGTCTTCTTCCCGTCCTCCTGGTCTGCAGACGTCCCGGTCTGAGTCAGCTGCAGCTGACAGGATGGAGCTGAACCTCCTCAGTGGGCAGACGGGGGACGCTGCAGGACGAGGACTCAGCAACACAGCAGGAGGAGGATAATGAACACAGCAGATAAAGAGGGTGCAGAGGCAGGAAAACTAAACACGACTACAGACAAAATCTACCACTAAAGATTGTTTTACTATCAACTAATCTGCAGATTCTTTTTCTTGATTACAGTAAAATTCAAAAGTATATCCAGGCTTTTATTTGCTTCAGTCACAGAACCCACTTGGCCTGTCTATTTATTTCAACCAGTGTGAGTATTAGATTACATTAGATTCAACTTTATTGTCATCGCGCATGTCACCAGGCACAAGCAACGAAATACAGGTAGCATCTAACCAGAAGTGCTTAACCTGTTGGAAACCTGCACCTTATTCCAGGAAAAACAACTCATACACCTAGAATGCAACTTCAACTGTAAATTTGATGAAAATAAACTAAAATACAAACAGTTATCATACAATATTTTTAAAATATATCAGGCAAATGTCCATATTTTGGCAATATTTACTGTTTAAGCAGTAATTAAATAAAATATGATACATTATTATACAAACTGCAAGATTATATATATATATGTCTACATGAATGTCTATTGCTACAGGTAAGTACAGGCTATGAACAGTTTCTAACTATGGTATGAATAACAATACAGTGTGAACAGTAGTGCAAAGGAGTGATTTACAGTATATACAGAATGTACAGTAGTTCTATAAAACTGATATACTTACTGATATAAAAATAGTCTTTTCTTCTCTCTTCTTTTCCATAACGGTAAATCTGAATTGTTTCTGTAAAATAAACTGAATGATTGAATTGTGGAGAATCTAACTGATATAACGATGTGCAGCATGTTCATTCTGACAAAGCAGGCGACCCGGTGGACTTTAAAGAGGTGGTATTCTGCTATTATAGTTATTATAGTTATTATTTCAGGTTCCTCATCTTATTTAGAGTTTGTACCAGAACAGGTTTACATGGTTATATTTTTGTCGTACTGCACATTGCTGCAGCTCCTTCGTTTTAGCTATGGAGTGATACATCTTGTCTCTAAATGATCTTTGTTGGGAGTTGCACATGCTCAGTTCCTAGTTAAGGACTACTAGCCAATCAGAAGCAGAGTAGGGCGGGTCGGCGAGAAGCCGGTAAACGGCTCGGGTTCAGCCGTCCGTGTTGCCGACCGGCTCAACAACACGGACTGGAGCGAGAGTTTCAGAGCGGTGAGTTATTAATCTGTATCCATAAAGTTTTAACTGAGCTCTGTCTCTACATCACAGGAACAACTTTCTGTCCACTGACTGCCTGGAGGGTAGCTAGTGTTTGGAAGGGAGAGGAGAGCTGTGTGCTGCAGCTCGCTGTTTCTGAGGAGCCGCTTGGCGAGCGTTAAATGAGGCGCGTTTAGCTTTCATCCCTGTGACGTCACAGGGATGAAAGGGAAGCGGCTGGACTACAAACGAGCTGTTTTCAGTTCAGAGTTTTCTGTGGGAGATGGGAACTCACTTTGGGCTTTTTCACTTGTTTGATAATCCAGTGTGACAATTTACCTGCCGATGGGGTCAAAGTGCACGCTCTCTCTTCAACAGTCTACAACTCCGTGATGAGATAAGACATGAAGATGTAATGAATACAAAATATGTGCCCCAGACTTCATTCTTTCATTTGGTATGACGTGTGTACCACTGTGACGTAGCAGTGTTTCCAACTAAGATTGAGTTGTAGCAGCGGAGGCGAAGCAAAATTTTTGTCTGAATATAAAACCCCAACACAACATGTCTCAGCAACATTACTCTTGAGTCCATGAGCATGCGATGCACATTAGAATAGCTTAAAACTTCAGTGTTTTCCCAGTTTAATGTGAGCTTTAGATTAATGTTTCGGTGCTGCTCGGGGTGGTCGGAGGGTTTGGGGTCCTCCCCTAAGAAACTTTTACGTTTTCCAATGACAAATATGTAATTTCACATCATAACTCTGAACAGAGACTTGGAAAAACACGAGCAGATAACAAACAGCCAACAGCCAAAGATCAGCCTGCTGGAGGAACTACAACCATTAGATCTGGAGAAAGTACTTTGGTTGGTTCTGATGCTCCACAGTGATTTTACAGTGAGGGCACAGCATGTTTTGGGCATCACCCCCTAAAACCCTGTTAATATGACCTCAGAATCATTTATCCTCCTCCTGATGTAACCTGTTACATGCACTAAAAGGTATATAACTCAATAAAGGAGAGGGAAAAAGCCAAAAAGCAGAATCCCACCTCTTGAAGAGGTTTTATACATCCACACAACTTCTATAACAACCAGACCAGGCTTCTAATCGAGACTCTGCCTTTAATTGAAGTCGTTTAGTTTATAAACCTTAGAAAACTGTTCTCAAAGCCCACGGTAAGGTCTGCTGAAGACCTCACTTTGTTCACCGTCATTTTATTATGCTATTTTAGATTATTCTGCATTTTTGCTTGTAAAATCACTGAAAAAACCCCCCAAAAGTATCTCTTTTTTGTAATAATTGACCAAAATAATCACAAAGAAAACCCCGCCCAGAAGCAAACAAACGACACACTAATAATAATAAAAACAAACACAAAAACTTAAATAATAAGAATAAATAAACATTGATTTAAACATTTCTTCTCATAATCATTAGTCTTCACTAAATAAAATAGTGCAAACAAAAATCTGCTGATAATCTTTTGTTGATCGACTAATCCAGCGAGTCCAGCGAGCAAGTGTGGTGCGCCCCTGGGGGTGAGCGAGCTGCCTCCAGGGGATGCGCGACAGGAAATATGTAATGGTGGTGTAGTAGTGGAATTTTTCATGAAATAAAAACCTGAATTGAAAACTTTCCTTTGTAAATGTAATTTTAAATTAAAAACGTTATTATTAATAGTGACCTCTCTCCTCTCACTGTACTTACAATCCTCATATGGATCCTCTTTAGTCCATATTATCTGTTCATGAGGCTGTAACAGGGCGTGATTTGTAAAAAAACAGAGAGGGGATGTTTTAAAATGTATTTTTTTTTTTGTCATGAAACCCCCCCCCCCCCTTCCTTCGCCCCGTACGCCACGCAGGTGAACTGTGGATTTATAGCAAAGTAACTATTTAGAGTAAATATCTAACGTTACATCGCGATCAGTGAAAAGAAGATGGTAGATGGTAGATCGCAGCCGATCACTGCAGAGCGATTCATGCGCTGCAGCCTGCGTACCAGATGGTGATGGGAGAGGGGAGGATGGACTCAATGATGGCGGCGCAGAAGAAGAAGCTCATGTTTAGGTCCCACTTGGGGTCCTGGGTGATGATGGCGCCCAGGAAGAGGAAGTGTGATGGGGTAAGGGCGTGGCCTTGACCATCTCCACTGTCTTCAGAGCTCCAGGTAGATCTGACTTCACCAGATCACCAGATGGTTGATCTCTCAACTGTAGGCAGACTCATCCCCACCGCAGATGAGCCCAATGAGGGCGGCGTCATCTGCAAACTTCAGGAGTCTGTCTGGCAGCTGGAGGTGCAGCTGTTGGTGTCCAGGTGCCAGATGTGTCTAGCCACAAGTTCCTGTTAACAGCCAGATATCAGACTATGAGGTTCTTGTATTGTGCCGATATCTAAAGCTCAGACACATCGAACCGCCTGAACCTGTTCACGTTTCCTCATCCCGTGGTGTCCAGCAGCCTAACGTTCCTATAAACACGTGTGTCGTCCGTTGCCAGACGCTCTGGACACACAGTTCAGACTACCTGTCCGTTCAGCTGAAGCACATTTTAATAAATAACACAGTTCCAACACAAGACTCGGTTCTTCTTTCATCCTGTTTATGAAGCTAAATAAAAGGTGCCCCCCCCCCACATATACAGAAAAACACTCTTTATTAGAGCACAATACAAAACATCATACAGGAAATCTCAAATATAAGGCACGCTTGTGAGACTTCTTTCCCTCCTATAGACAACACTGCAAAAATTATTCTGCAGGTGCGCTGAGACTCTCTTACACCCAAAATTAAATCAAACGGCTGCTGACCTGCCAGAGACCTGAAACTGCAGGAAACATCAGCAGCTGAAGACTCACTAACAAATCCCTCCTGCCGAAAATAAAACCCCAAGTCCATTAAATAACTGCAGTGCTTCAACACAGTACAAAAGGCAAATATTATTTTCACGTTCAAAAACAGGGCATTGTAACAGCTGACTTCATAATAGATGTGAGGACACGGTAACATTAAATAAGATCTGTAGTACAGTACAGTCCTCTCTAACAGGCAGCTACACTTCATCTTCAGGTGTTATTGAGACGTCCACGCGCTGCCTGTTTATCTGCCGACATGACAGGGACAGAAGCTCCGCCTCATCCTGAGCATGCATGTGGTGAAAACTGGGTTCAATCTGAATGTCAAAGTGAAACAGATCCTCTTTGAGGCGACTTCCACACAGCTGAGCTTTCAGCTGAATGCTAACATGCTGATATTTAGTGTTCACCGTCAGATGTCTTTAAGTTCTGCAGATATATGGTCAGAAACTAAAGTGGAGGACAGAGAGACGAGACGCGTTTCCACCAAGCTTTGCTCGGTGTTTAACCGACATTTGTTTTGACCTGCAAAATAACACGATCTGTTCTTCCTGAGCAGAGAAACCGCTGTTCAGTGACCGCATATTTGATAACCACCAAACACCTCAACATAAACCCCGTTCTCTGAGCAGCGAGTCGTCCCGCCCTGTCGGAGACGCTGCCTCATGCTGACTGAAGCAGAGAGGAGACGGGGGTTCGCTCCTGGTCCTGGTCCTGGTCCTGGTCCTCCATGATGGCCCGCAGAGCCTCCAGACCCTCCACAGTCACAGTCAGACTGCCGACCACCTCGCTGCTGTCCTCCACATCCAACACTGTAGACACACACACAGACACCGGGTGTGTTTAAGGCTTTTATATCGGACTCGTGACCTCAGTATCTGACCCCACGAGGGGTTAAGACGTGGTGTTAGTGTTCAGGCTAAGGCTGAAAATAGGTCTCTTGATAAAATCTTTTGGTATCTATAATTATCAGGATAAATGTCAAATCATTATTTCTTTCAGGTTTCAGGCTGATTTCTGCTCCTGACTGAAAGTTAATGTGGTTTTAAAATTTTCTATCGGGTCAGAATAAACTCTTGATGCCAAACAGTGGATCACTTCACAAATCTGAGGCAGATCATTTCAACAAATATGCACAAGTAAAATCTGTCGCTTTTCCTCAACAAAATTAATATCTTAGTAGAAAAATTAAAGTAATGATTTGTTTTTATCTTGATTAAAATAAATAAAATTTAACATTTATTAAAACATTTATTATTTTGATATTGAGGAAAATTATATCGAAATAATTGTTGTTGTTTTTAAATATAATTTTATTGGACAGGGAGGGGAGATGAGAGGCGAGGACTCAGCCTTTTAAATGGGGTGAACGCGGAAGTCCCTGAAACCTGCATTCTATCAAACGGCCAGCAGGGGGCGACTCTTCCAGCTCCGTTAGAAATAACGGCAAAATGTTTCTACTTGTCAGCTGATTTATTCCCTCAGGAAACACTTTCCTGATGAGTTTCTGGTCTCAGTCGCTAGTTTCAAGTCTTCTTCAACACAGCGTGATGTTCATTTAGTAAATTATGGTCCCGTTTATTTTAAAATAGACCACAAAGCAGAGTATGTTTCAGGGCGGGATTATCTATGATTGACAAGTCATATAGGGGAAACAGGGGAAGAAACGTGTGTGTGTGTGTGTGTGTGTGTGTGTGTGTGTGTGTGTGTGTGTGTGTGTGTGTGTGTGTGTGTGTGCGCGTGCGCGCGCTGACCCTTCAGGCTGGTCTCGGTCAGGTCTTGTTGCGTCTCCAGGATTTCGGGGATCCTGAGGTAGGCCACTCCCACGTCCTCGCACTCCCTCTCCTGCTCCTCTTCCTCCGGAGGTTCGCTCACCACCGTGAACCGGATTCTGCCCAACAACCACATTTATCATCAGTAATCTTTATTAATACTGTCAATAATCACTTACTAATGAGTTTTTTAGGCCTTTTCAGCCGTTATTCATGACAGGACGGCTCAACAGAGACAGGAAATGTGGGAGAGAGAGAGGAGACAACTTGCAGGAAAGGACAGCGGGTCGGACTCGAACCCGGGTCGCTGCGGCAAGGTCCTAGTCTTTCGTACACGGGACGCTGGGAGGCGAGCACTAGCGATGAGCTAGCATGCCCCCTTTGAAGACTTATTTTGACTTGAGAAATGTTGAGTTACTCTGAAGTTTTCAAAAGTAATATTTTTTTAATAAATATAAATTGCATTTATGTTTAAGGTGTCACGTGGAGGCAGAAATCTCAGAGCCAAATAAAACTGCATGACGAGATAGTGACAGTTCATATAATAACATCAACAACAACATATAATAAAATTTCTCAGCTCAGTAAACATTTACAAACTGGTAGAATTCATTAGAGGTGATTTCCAGCTGTGGTTCTGAGATCACCTCTGAATCCCACCACAACGTCTGTCTCCGGCTGTCTCCACGAGGAAAAACAACAACGCTGTGTTCTCCACCCACCTCTCCATGTCGGGGTTTCTGCCCTGCAGGACTCCCCTCAGCAGCCGCCGCCTCGCGCCGTTGTTCTCTGCGTCCACGGGAACGACTGAGGGCAGAACCACAAACACTTAGAACACAGAAAACAACGAGTTCTGCTTCTCAGGATCATAATGTTAATAAATATTTCACCATGAAACTGTTTGTGTTCAGACGTGTGCCAGCAGCCCAGTAAGGATCAGGTGTCTGGCTTCACTACGCTTTTTGTTTTTCATCTGTTGTTTCCGGCTTTATTCCTGAAACTCATGTTTCCTCTGACAGAAATACAGTCATTGGAAAAGGAAGACGGGGTTTTTGGATTCATGAGCAGCCGACCAGCCAGAGGAGAGAAAAGAGAGCCGGGATTGGAGCCATGTTAGGCCAGCTTGGACATAAATCGCACCTATAAAGCTTTCCCTTATTTTCTGTCATGTCTTTAATGTCCGCCACAGCCTCTTTGTCCTCCCGTGTTCCTCTCAGTTTCTTCAGCAGCTGCGGAATAGACACCGGCTTCCTGTTTACACCGGCACGCACATGCTCAGTGTACGTGAACGGTCACGTGATGTGCCTTTTCAGACATTTCAATACAGACAGAGATCAATTCTGATACGCAGCTAAAACGCTGCTGTGGATGGAGATCGTTCTCAACCACACAGTCAGTTCATTTTCTTCTTACGTGATATTAAAGCCAAAGAAAACAGCATTAAAAATCTGTCCTGTTCCAAATGATACAGCTCAGAAACTCCAGTTCAGGTTCCCCGGTTGTCAGTGTGATTTAAAAAACAAAATTGTTGGGATTTTCACAAAACTTTACAGCCTCGCCGTGTGCAGGTCCTTACCTTTGCTGTAGTTGAAGTTGATGCTCTTGCCCCGGGGGGGTTTGGGTAGAGACAGCGGGGTTTCCTCCGTGGGCAGATCCAGGAGGGAGTACTCCACAAACAGACGCACCACGCTGCCGTCCCTCGCCACCCGAGACTCCGGCCTCAAGCTCAGGGACAGAATTTCCACCCGCACTCGCTCGGAGGTCTGAGGACCAGCACAGGGACACGGGTTAGTTCAGTTATAGCACGCCATGCTGTGGAGAAACCGCTGTTCAGCTACTTCTGTGACCTTCGAATGACCATTGAATAAAATGCAGAGCAGCCCTCAGTCATTCTGTTGAGTCGACTACTGGAACGGTGTCTTTACAGGCCTCCCTATAAAATCAGACAGCTGCAGCCGATTCAGAACGCTGCTGCTCGAGTCCTCACGAAGTCTTTACACTGACTTCCTGTCTGCCAGAGAACTGGTTTTGAAATCCTGCTGTTGGTTTATAAAGCACTGAATGGTTTAGGACCACAATACATTTCTGATCTTCTGCTTCGTTATGAACCATCCGGACCTCTCAGGTCATCTGGGAGCAGGTCAGTTTTTCCCAGAAACCTGCTAAAACTGTCAGTTCTTATAAATCAACAATGAAGACTTTTTACCTCTGCCTTTAATTAAATCAAATTTAAAGCTGTAGATCAATATCGTACACTTCACTGTGAGTTTTACTGTTTTACCCTGTTTTTAGCTCCAATTTCATTTCTCCATTTCTTTTAGATTGATAACTTACACTGCACTGTAACTTTAACGGTCCTGTTACAGAAGCTAGAAGAGGTGGAAAAGGGTGATTTTTATTTTCTCTTTAACTCTGTATTTCCCTGTTACTTTTTTTTTTTATGTAAAGCACTTTGAATTATCTTGTTGTTGAAATGTGCTATACAAATAAACCTGACTTGCCTTCAGATCTGTTTCTCCTGTAGATCAACGTTTCTCATGTAATATTGAGGAGGAAACCTATGTAAAAGTAACAATAAACAATAAAATAATCATCCTTTATATTTTTATAGCCTCTTTCACGGGAACCAAGGGTGCTTTACACATAATTACAGAGACAGAACAACAAAAAGTCATTCCGGATTGAATGCCTTTGTGAAGAGGTGGGTTTTATAGGAGGTTTTTGAAAGTGTCCAGCTCTGTGGGGATGAGTTCCAGAGGGTGGGTGCTGCGATGCTGAAGGCTCTGTCCCCAAAAGTCCGGAGTCTGGTGTGGGGGACAGAGAGCAGGCCTCACAGCTGAGTTCTGGACATATCGCAGCCTGTCCAGGACCTTGCTGGTACAGGACACCATTGCAGTAGTCCAAGCGGGAAGTGATGACGGCATGGAAGAGTGAGTCTGAGAGTCAAGGTCGAAGTCTGGAGATGTTTTTGAGGTGGTAGAAGGCAGATTTGGTAATGAGTTTGACATGTGACTGGAATGAGAGGGTGGAGTCCAAAATGACACCAAGGTTGCGGACTTCTTGGGATGGGGAGATGGAGCAGCCATCCACTTTGAGGAGTAGATCAGCTACCCTCAGGAGCAGCGGCTTGGGAGCCACCACCATTACCTCCGTTTTGCTGCTGTTTAGTTTGAGTAGGTGAGATGACATCCAGGTTTTTATTTCATTCAGACAGTTAACAAGTGACAGAGGGGGAAGCGGAGTGGATGGTTTGGTGCTGATATACAGTTGTGTGTCATCAGCATAACAGTGGAAGCTGAGACCGTGGCAGTGGATTATCTGGCCAAGGGAAGCATGGTAATGGTGAAAAGGAGGGGTCCAAGCACAGGGCCTTGGGGCACACCTTGTTTGACTAGTAAATTAAATCAAGTCGCAGAGTACCATTTGACATCTGGAAACAAATACAGTGGAAAGACTTTCAGCTGTCTACACGTTTACTGCCAAAAAGCATACTATCTAAGGTACACCTGTTTGGCAAGAAACAGGCTACATGAAGAAGAAAGCAGGGAACGTTTTTATGATCTTACATAGACACAGAGAAAAACTGAAAGGCCACTACCTTTGTTTTTGTTGTTCACTGAAGACATTTGGGTTTCAGATCAAAAGATGAGACAAGAGTTCAGAATTTCAGCTCTCATTTCCTGGTATTACATACCATCCCTTTATTTGAACCCACCCATTTTTCAAGTGAGCACAACTATTGGAACATGTGACTGACTGATTTGTTGATGTTTCTGGTTGCCTTTTAGGCTGATTGTCCAAACATTAATAGCTCTACATGACTAGTCTAAGTTTTCATCCTTGGTTCAAACCTATAAAGACTGCATTTCCTGTTAAAGAGGATAAAGCAACACGAAGACCAGAGAGCTGTCTGTGGGAGAAAAGCAAGCCATCGTCAAGCTGAGAAAATCGACCAGAGCCATTGGACAAACATTGGGCACAGCAAGCACAACAATTAGGAACGTCCTGAAAAAGAAACTACTGGTGCACTGAGCAACAGACGTCCAACAGGTCGGCCAAGGAAATCTACAGTAGTTGATGACAGAAATATGGTGAGAGCTGTGAAGAAAACCCCCAAAACATCAGGAAGTGACATCAGCAACGACCTCCACAGTGCAGGGTGAAGGTATCACAATCCACTGTTGGAAGAAGACTCAGAGAGCAGAAATATAGAGGCCGCACCACAAGATGCAAACCACTCATCAGCAGCAAGAATCGCAAGGCCAGAGTGAAATTTGCAAAGCGGTACAGAGATGAGCCGCAAAAGTCCTGGAACACAATCTGCTGGACGGATGAGACCAAGATTAATCTGTAGCAAAGTGATGGAAAGGCCAAAGTGTGGAGAAAGAAAGGAACTGCTGATGATCCAGAGCGTACGAGCTCATCTGTGAAGCACGGTGGAGGTGATGTCACGGCCTGGGCTGCATGGCTGCTTCTGGAACAGGCTCATTAATATTTATTGATGATGGAACTGATGATGGTCGCAGCAGAATGAAGTCAGAAGTGTTTACAGAGAAATGCACTGAAACTAATGGGGAGGAAGTTTATCATGCAGCAGGACAACGAGCCAACCAACCAACAGTTTGGTGATGTCGATGGGTCGCAGGCTTGAGGCAGTTATTGCAAGCAAGCGTTACGCCACCAAATATTAAATGTTATTTACTTTAAGATGATTTGTTCCTTTGCTTTTGCTCACCTACGAATGCTGTGGTCTAATACAAAGGTATGTCTTGAGTTGTTTAACACATCTAGAAATTCTGAACTCTTGTCTCATCTTTTGATCTTAAACCCAAATGTCTTCAGTGAACAACAAAAACAAAGGAAGTGGCCTCACTGTTCCAATACTTTTGGAGGGGACTGTAGGTTTCAGCAGTGAAGCAGTCACCAGTTGGCCATGTGGTTTGCGTGGCTTTAGTTTGGTGGGGGTTATGTTGGGAACGGAAAAGGAGTCGCCCTTTAGACATTATTCCTGAAGGCGGAGCGAAAATGTCTTTGGCAAACCTGGTCAGTTACATCTCTATAAGGTTTTGGAATAGGCTAATTGTAAAATACTTGTAAAATAAACCAATTCAAGTAGCTCTGGGATTCCTGGGATATCACCAGGTTTCCAGATCCTGACAAAGAGGATATACAGTATCTCTCCTTAACTAATTAACTCAACTCCACCTTCATTTCTTGTATCTTTGTTATCTATAATCCCATGTAATCACCATATTGACTTATCATATATTTTTACATATTACTATTTTTGTATGCATAATAGAATCATTGAAATTAAGAAAGCATCCCTGCTGAGTCATGATTCAGTCTTCCCTCCTCTTTGTGTCTCTGTTTGGGGAAGTAACCTTTTTAAATGTGGCTCCTTTTCACCTCGATGATAAATGAATTAATTTTACTTCAGTAATAAACTCCTGGACTTTAATAGCTCCTGTGTTTCAGACGCTTTTCTGCTTATGTTCAAAATTTCTGCACGTTCAGAATCTCTCCCACATATCTCTGTGTTCTCTGACACGTCCAGAGAAAATTATAATCTTGCTAACGTCAGAAACATATAGAACAAGACTGACAGCATCATTTTATGAGAATTCATGATATTTTAAAAGTCGACCCTAGACTCTGCTGTGCATTACGTTATTGCTCCGCTGGTAGTTTCACTTTTAGACCGTTTGGAACCTAACTGAAACACTTGTGATCAGTCAGAAATCTCACCACTAACGTTCACTTCAGCGGCTCTGATAAAGTGCAGCTCACAGTCCGGAACAGAGCAAGGCTCCTCTTCAGCTTTTAAATGTTTATATTTCAAAACTCTACCAGCTGCGTTACCCCTTGTCGTCACAACTGTCAGGACTCAAAGCGCGAGAGTGGGTTCGCTCGATTACTGTCCCGGCGTAAGCTGGTGTCGCATCAGCTGGGCGGAGATGATTTAGTTATTAGTTTTTCACTGTGTGAGGAAATTGGTGTGTGGCGTGAAAGCGTGTGGAAAATATTAACTGAGTGAGTCTGATGCACACCCCTACTAGTTATCACGATGACATGATGAAAATGTCTGTTACGTCACGTTGTAGCCTGGAGGTCATGTCGCCCGGTAGTCAGGTCTCTCGCTCATGAACGATTCTAAATAAATGTAAACGTAAATGGCGGCCCCCCCCTATAAAACCGAAGGACATGTACTGTACAGATAATAACCCCAGCACCACCCCAGAGTATGAATGTGGTCATGGTTGGCACTTCTTAAACAAATGCTCGTCTTATGTCTTCTCACTGAATTCATTTAATAAATCTCCAATTAGTTCACTAATCTAAATTTTAAAACAAAGACGCTCTCCTTTAAGCTTCTCTAATGTGAAAACATGCCGGCTTCCTGCCAGTGTGGTAAATTAAATTTAAATTACTTACTTTTGGTCCGATAAATAAAACATTTTTTATCTATTTCTAACGTTCTAATAATAATTGGCAGGTTCATCAATAATGAAAATAATTGCTTGTTTGTCCGTCTCCTGTATAACGCCGGGCTTCAGCTGGACGTGTTAACAAACAGACAGAAACAACATACACAGAATAAAATCGAACTGAACCACAACAAAAACAAAACACCTTCACAAATCTCTCCACAATCAAAACACGAGTGCAGCTGAGTTTTCCAGAGCTGGAGATCAGCTCCGCTGTGCGCTCCCAGGATGCAACAGTCTTCCCCGTGTACTACCTGCACAGCGACTATACCCTCAGATCTGCGCAAGGTAAACGGACTCACTGACCTTCCTCCCCGTGGCCGGTCCATGAACAATGCAGTCATCGCTGTCGGACTGAGTCGATTCACTCTGATCCTCTTTGGCCGCTGGAGCCTCCTCAACATCTGCACGGGTCCGGACGGCGAGCAGGAGGGGAGGAAAAAACAACAACAGGAGTGAGTTAAACAATGGTGTGTTCTTTAAGAAGGAAATATAAAGTTGCAGCATCACAATGTTGACATGTTGAGTAGGCCGTGTCTCCGAGGGCTGTCATTAACATTTATGAAGCCCGCTCTAAAGATTATTGGCAGCCAAATTCAATATTAATGTCTGTTCTGCTCAGGAAGCATTGTTAGAAAGCAAACAAACACAAAATAAAACATTAGCACCTTAAAGACAGGGCGCAGGGCTCAGAACACCGGCAGGCTGCGAGAGTTAAAAACACTGTTTTGTGTCCACAGTGTGAAGCAAAATATAACAAGTGTGAACCAGAGGACCAACAAACAGCTGAAAAACATTTCAGTCACTCTTCTTCTTTTTGTTTACTAACCTTTATTTTCTTTAAAGTAAAAAAATTGCATACAAATGTACATAAATAAATAAATATGGTAATACAATATATATTTATATCTGACGTACTGCACATAATGTCTCAAGTGTGACCTCTATGATTGATAAACAGGTGGTGGTCCAGTTCATTACATTTACTCATGTAATGTTAACATACAAGCATCAACAAAGCATGAGAATGTGTGCTGAGAGATGCTTTATGTCTGTATTTTGTGTTTTCTTGTAAAGCTGCAGAACGGAGTCCAAAACAAATTTCCTTATCTCAAGCATCAAATACAGCACGAGATCTACAACTGACACACATATGGCAGTGGGGGTGGTAGAAGGAAAGGAAGGTGTTTTAGATAGTTCAACTCAGTGACGGCTCTTGGAAAGAAGCACTGTGTGTTCTCGGGGCTCTGTAGCGCCTCCCAGAAGACAACAACAGCATAACATTCATTTACATTATCTGACACTTTTCTCCAAAGCGATTTACAATTGCTCTACATGTCAGAGGTCGCACGCCTCTGGAGCAACGAGGGTTAAGCGTCTTGCTCAGGAACACAATGGTGAATGGGTCACAGTGGGGAATTAAACCCGGGTTTCTCACATCAAAGGCATGTGTCTTATCCACTGCTCCATCACCACCCACTCAGGAGGAAACGTGTATTAACCCAACAACGCTGACAGCCCACATCCAGAAGGATTTGAGCGCAGGACAGTCCCACGTTTGTTCAGATCACGATCAATACTTCCTCACCTTCTGTGATTTCCTCAGAGATCTCAGAGTCGTCGGAGCAGGACTGAGAGCTTGTTGGCAGCAGCTGTCCTTCAGAGAAGTGAGACTCTTCTTCCTCTTCCTCTGCGGCGCACTGAGGAGTCGCTTCTGACGCAACCTGCAAATACAAAATACTCAGTGTGATCACTGATGGATCAGCTGTGATTAAAAGAAAAACAACTGTTTATTTGGCACAGACTTTAATCAGTGCAGCCAGACAGCTGAGTGACTTTGGATTTGATGAGTAAAAAATATTCTGGGCTTCTGGTTTCTGTCTTGTTTCCTTTTGTGCAGTTTCCCCTGATGTAGAGTTACAGCCTACATTTGATCAACACGCTGCCGAAACTCTTATTTCTCTAATTCACATTTATTTTAAATGGCTCCACGTCTTTCATTATCAATCCTCTAATCCCACCTGAAAGAGAGTGTCCACAGAAAGCTGTTTATGTTATTATTTACAGGTGAGGTGAAGAATCTTATTTGCAGTTACAGATATCTGGTTTGACTGTAAGTTTACCTGTACGACAGGTGAGGACGCCGTCTCTCTGGGACCTGGAGAGGTCTTGTCCTCGACCTGACAAGAACAAAAACATTAAAACCGATTTTTCTGGTTGAAAATGATTTCCACTCATACCTACTGCAGGTTCCTCAGTCTCAGGTTAAAGCCTCTGTACGAAGGTTCTTTAAAATGAATAAAAACACGCACGCCGTTTTCCTTCAGCACGTGGTCATTTTGTGTTCCCGGATGTAGGTCTGTATTCTTTTTGAGGATTCTGCAGTAATATCTGGTAACGCTGTCAAAACTTATACACAGTTCTGCTTGTAGCAATGTGGTCGTTTCTCCTCACAGCAGGGGGTGAAGTCCAGCTGTTTAGAGAGGGACTCTTCATTCTTCATATGTGAGCATTTAGACTTCCGCCTTGGTGTCTGCGTCGCTCTGCAGTTACACTGTCAAAATGCTAGTTAGCGATGAGGTTTCTGTGTTCCACTGTGATGACTTCCCCCTACTGAGCCGGCCAACTTCCTGTTAACCCTCCGCTAACTTGAATGGGGGTAAAACGATAAGCGTGCGGCTTTCTAAATCTTCCGAATGTTATTGGACAGAATGGATCAAATTCTGAAAGTTAAACGAGGCGCGTGGGTTGTGATGCTCAAAAGATTGTTTTCACCGCTGCTTCTTTCACAATGTAAGTTAACGGGTAAATGTCTTGTTTGGACGCTAGTAAAACTGATTTCAGCACTTCCTGTGGGTTTGGAGGAAATGCGACGCCACCAAACCAACCAATCACAGTTCTTGTGATCTGCGTCGGCATGATGTGTAGTTACATTTTTTTGGGAAGGCTACGGCGTAGATTCGACACAGAAGTATAAACTGGCCTTCAGTCTGGTTCTGCTCTTTTAGAAACACAGAAAGTAAGACATGCATGAGCCACAATCTCACCTGGTCATTCGCAGCTGTGGGATCTACAAACGTGACCTTTTTGGCCATCATTCCCTCTTTTGTCTTCTGTCTGAGCTTTGGCAGCGGGGCCTGATGGTGAGAACACATTCAGATTAAGGAATATAGTTTGCAGGAATACACCTTTACAGGTAATTTCAGATGCCAACATATTAAAACTGTGCATTAGTGTAACTTTTTGATGGTCTTGGTCGAGTCACATTTGTACTCTGCCTTGTCTCGGACACTGAGGATTTTATTTCAAGACCATAACTTTGGGAATATCAATAAATTGCTTTTGCATCGTCTGATTTATTTGTTAACGTCCAAACTTTGATTGGATGTAAAACGTACTGCTTCAAATCCAACCAATAACCCTAATTAAAAATGTTTTGTTCCCGTTACATTCATTCATTTAGCCGACGCTTTTATCCAAAGCGACTTACAGCTGCTATACATGTCAGAGGTCACACGCCTCTGGAGCAACGAGGGGTTAAGTGTCTCGCCCAGGGACACAGTGGTGGATTGAACCCGAGTCTCTCACACCACAGGCATGTGTCTTATCCACCGTGACATCACCACCTCCGTTAACGACTGTCCCCACGATGGTTGGCTAAGCTTGGAAAAGGAGTGCTGGATAAAGATGTTGGTTTCAGCTCTAGGTGTCTGTATGTGGGTGTTTTAACGGGAATGTGGATTTTTTAGATCAATGTGAAAAGTACCTATGATCTCGTTTCCTGAAAGTCTCGGTCTCGTCTCGGTCTCGATAAACTCGGTCTTGACTACAACACTACTGTGCACTTTGAATAAGGAATTGCACGGACGTAACTCTGTGGGTATTCTGACCTTAGAGCTGACGGCTGCGACCTCAGGCAGAGAGGAGGAGAGATGGAAAAGGTCTTTGGCTTCCTCCTCTTCCTCCACGCTGTGCTGTTCCTGCTTTGGCTCAGCCGTTAACTTCTCTGTTGGGATGAACTCTGGCTCCTCCGCAGACATGACGCAGCCTGGTGGAGGGAGGTAAGGGGACGTCCACTGCAGCGCCACTGTAATATGGCCGGCGGGGAGTCCAGAGGGATCGGTCAGCTCAAACGCACCTGAAGGACAAACAAGAGAAATGGAACAAAACACTGAAAGAAGGAGGAGACAAAGACTAGACAGGGCCTCAATAATAAAATATTCACACCGAGCCGACGATGAGTCTGCAGAGTTCAGTTCAGTTTTCTTATGAGTGAGAAAGTCCTTAACCTCTGGGTCAGATTCTCAGAGATGAGTCTCTGTCCTCGTTATGAGAAGACGGATCCAGAGATTCTTCAGTTTGTGAGTGCAGCATTAAAAACCAGTGAAATGGAGCCACATTCAGCTCTTTCGTCATGTATTCCCGACTATTATGAACAGCAGAGAAGGTGAATTACGGCAGTTAGGTCAATCCATCACGTCTATATAAAGTCAGAGACAGAAATAAGATTTGGTTTGACTTTCTGTGGCTCGAACATCTGTCGTTTCTTTCACAGCAGACGTTTTGTCTTATCACAGTTCGTCAGCATCTCAGTGTAACACAGCATTAACGTCACCGTCTCACACAAACAGACGTGGGCGTATTAACGGCCAGACATTTTAGCATTTTGCTAAGAAACACAGAGGGAGATGTTGGACACGATGGCCTTGTTTGTACTGTACTGATCTTTATGAAGTTAGTGGACGTGGCCTTGGGTGCGAGCAGAGCGAGTGTAACTATTTGTTCATTAATCTGCCAATTATTGTCTCCGTTAATCTCATCAAGGTTTGGTCCATAAGACATCAAAAAAACTGATCAATCTCAGACTCCAAGATGACTTCTTCAAATGTCGTGCTGTCTCCAGCAAACATATTTAACTTACTATAACAAGAAAAGCAGCACATTATCAAATAGCTGCTGATTAATCTAAATGAATAAATGTAAATGTAAATAAACTCTCCTGACTTCAGGAGAACTGTTGAGCTGTGCTAACTTTTACTTTTCCACCAGGTAGTTTGCTAACTCCTTTAATCCACGTGGCTGCTCTTTAATCGCTTTTACAGGATCACTAAAATGTCAACAGGCGGAGCTTATTAACTGATCTACCGATGTGTTTGATGACAAAACCCTCGTTAGTAGGAAGGCTGTAGGCGATGTGACGCTGGATAATGTCTCGTTAGGTAACATGATGGAACAAAAGCATCCTGACGCAAGTCTCTGATAGGAGGAGACAAGAGATACATGAAAAACACGATGACGTCAGCTTTTGTTATTATTAGTGTTATTTTACCTCCATTATTAACTTTCCCGAGCAGAGTACGGGTTTCTGCCGGGGTCAGTGAGGGAGCACAGGAGGAGCCACCAGCTCTGGACACAACAGCTGCCTTTCTCTTCGCATTATTTGTCAGAGGACTTATTTTTCGCTGGATTGAGTATTTAGGATTTCCTAACCTGAGATAAGACAGGTTAGGTTCCTAAAAGTTAGTTAGGATTTGCTTCTGTAAAATCTTAAGACTCTTCCTGTCTTAACTTAAGACTTAAGATAGGGACTTGCTGTGACACGGCCCCTGGAGCAGGAGCCCTGACGCTGAGGCCTGGCACAGTAACACCTCACCTGTGATCCCCTTGTCCTGGGCCAGTGACAGCAGAGGTACCCGGGCCTTCCCCAGGTACGTGTCCATCTGCTCCTCTTTGTAGTCGAACACGTAGAACCGAAGGACCTCAGACCTCAGGTACCGGTCCAGATCTACATCCATCAGGACGGAGTAGGACTTGAGGTCGTCGAAGTCGGGGTCGCAGGAGTCGTGGACGGTGGCGGTCGGGTGGTCGGGGAAGTCAAAGACTTTGTAGACCACGTAGGGGCTCGGTAGCCGGGAGGTTCCTGGCTGCAGGTCTCGGCAGCGTTGGACGGTGACGTAGAGTTCGTTCAGACTGCCGCTGGGTGGCTGCGGCTGAAAGGAAAGATTTATCTGGAGGTTACATCGCTCTGCAGAAACGTGGAGACGGCAGGAGTCCCGGCGGCTTCTGAGAAGTACGCCGAAGAGTAAAATCTAGAAGTGGCGGTACTGCATTCGGGTGAGTACCACTTCAACCACTGGTTGTTCTAGGTAAGAGTTAAGAGACCATCACAGTAAAACTACCTGGGTTTCATGTTTGTAGCTCTGACGGTGGATTAATAAATTGCTAAGATCAGACAGGTCGTAAACAAACTCTGGGCTCAGTCAAAGTTATCTGGGAGAGAAAACATTTCTGAAACTGCCTGTTCCAAACATCCATCCCTGCCAAATGTGCTTCCTCACGGTGTTTCTGTGTAATGAGGAGTTTCAGTTTTACCTCCTGATGCAGTGGAAGCTAAGCTGACTGACTGGCTGCACGTGTTCGTTCCCGACACATCCTTGGTTAGCGATGTTGCCGCTTTCTGAGATTTCAGCTTTGGGGTTATTAAAAGCGCTTAGGATGCTCATTTGTGCCATCAACGCTACAGCACCCAACATCTCCCACCTCCGCAAATAGACGCTATTTTGATTGGACATAATGTTTATATATTTTATATATTTGATCCTGATAATCACTGATTATAATTAATACACTTATTTTACTTTGCACTGTATTGCCAATTTCCTCTATGGGGGGATCAACAAAGAAACATCTTAGCTTCTCTTATTATATTATTGTGTACGAACTACATTTTTATTATATCTGATAGAAACGATGGCTGTAGCCACAGACATAAAACCCAAGTTTTCCTTTAAATTACTAAAACATAACGTACCTGTGTGTCTTCTCTCGGTGTGGTGTTGATGTAGCTGACGGCCTTCACCTTCTCTTTATACAGACGGAGGGTCTCTGTCACGGGGATCTTCAGCCTCAGCCAGTAATCCACGGAGCCAAAGGACCACGCTGAATCAGATGTACCTGAGAAAGAGCAAACAGCTTTCAACTGCAAAGGTCAGTGCACGTCCGCGTTCTGCTCACTCGCTCATATATATATATGACCTGCTAGACTAAAGTCTATTCCAGACTCTGGAGAAGCGTCGATGTAGATCTGAGAATTTTCTTACAACTTTTAAAACACAACTTAAAATTCATCCTTTCAAACAGCGCCGGGCGATACGGCCAAAAATGTTAAATTTCATATCATTCAATATCGATAATTATCAGAATAAACGTCAATTCATTATTTCGTTCAGGTTTAAAGGCTGACTGTTGCTCCCGAGTAGGGCTGCAGGATATTGGCCGATTTATATTGCAATTTGAAAAATACAGGAATTTTCACACGATGACTTCAGTTGCTCTGTTTGAAAAGAATTAAGCATCCTAGAATTATTGGGGTGATTTTGTAGTGAAATAAAAATAAAATAGCTGATAAATGTATTTTTAGTCTGAAGACTTTTTGCTATCTGTCCTTTCTTGAGCTTTAATGCAGTAAACATATTTTGAACAAATGATTGAACACCGGCTGCCTGAGCAGTTTACAAAAGTTGCTTTTCTTTTGCAACCAGATCTACTGCTGCCGTGGTTTCCTCCTGTCCCTCACCTTTTTCCAAGTTGTTGTCGACAGCTAACGGGGGCGGGGCCTGCGCTGGTTGTTTGATAAACTGATTAAGATCAATACTGTGATTGGCGGTTGGCTGTAGATACAGAGTTTGCTTGTCAGAACAAACACTTGATGCCAAACAGTGGATCGCTTCACAAATCTGAACATTCAGAACTATTCTGCTAAAATCTGTTTTTAACAAATGTGCACGGGTAAAATTAAATAAAATCTTTCTTCAGTCTCTTTTTCTAAACAAAATAAATATCTTAATAAAAAAATAAAGTGCTGTTTCGTTCATTTATTGAACATTTGTTATTTAGGAAAATGATATTGTGCCAACTATCGCCATTGTTTTGTTGCCCAGCCCTACTTTAAAACTACCTTTTAACTAGAAAGTTGTTTTTATATTTTAACCACACTCACAGATTTAAAGGTCTCTTCTAGTGTTCTCTTTAATAAAAAAATCCTATCTTCTGTATACAGGGAAGCAAACTTCAGGAGGGAACAAGTGAGGGTTAAGTTCCTTTCTCAAGGTCAACAAGAGTGTTTTCTACTTCTCACAGCGTGCCTGGGGCTTTGACAGATACAAAACACTGTGTTGACCGGGTCGGCTCGCTCTGTGTCTGTTTTTCTTTGCCAGATTCTACTGCTACCTGCCAACAGGGATTGTTAGTTCGATCTAATCTCGCTCACCGACCAGCGGCATGCTGCCATGAACTCTTCCGTCGTGCTCGAGCAGCTGCTGCAGCCGAAGCTGCGCGGTCGCCACTGTCCTCCAGTCCAAACCCAGGGCCTGATGCAGCTCCACAGTCACAGAGCACCTGCGGAGATAGTCCAGGAACCGGTCGTCCATGCTCACCACGTACTTAGATGTGAACCCATATTTTGGTTTCTGGCCCGTCACCACCGGAGTGGAGTGCAGCTCAAAGAAATAGAAGGAGTAGGTACAGAAGGTGGAGGGTTCAGAGTCGCCCAGAGCGTCCAGGGCGGACGGAGAGAGCGTGGCGCCGACTATCTGAAGTTCAAGAAGGTTCTCTCCTCGCTCCAGCTGAAGAGTTTCATCCAACTCATCTGTCTCGTCTTCGTCTGTGATGTCTGGTTTGAGGACGTAGGTTTTGTTGCCGTAGGCGATGTCTCTGAGCTGAGCTGAGGAGCAGAAACAGAAAGTCTGAGTTAGAGATAATCACAGCTGACACAAAACCAAACAAGGATGATCACCTCTCACTACACAGGTACGCATCAAAAACATGTCTGTCATGAGATCTCTATGAAGATTCTCAGTCATCCAGGTCATAGTTGGCCAACGAAGGTTAAAATCAAGGGCAACTGGACTTGGTTGAAGATACTGGAAGACGTTTCGTCCCTCATCCAAAGGACTTCTTCAGTTCTTCAACTTTTGTCTCTGTCATGAGGTCTATCTAAAGTAAAGACGCGTGTGTTTGAGGAGCCGCTGGTTTCATCATCAGCTGATTCACTGCCGGAACTGAATTTGAAATGAAGCGGCAACCTCCTGCTCTCACGACTGAAGCCGATGCTGAAGCACCTTAAACCTGCATCCTCTCCAGCAGCCAGCAGGGGGCGACTCCAGCGGCTGCAGAAAGAAGTGTGATTGTATAGAAGTCTGTGAGAAAATGTTTCTACTTGTCAGCTGATTTATTCCCTCAGTAAACACTTTCCTGATGAGTTTCTGGTCTCAGTCACTAGTTTCAAGTCTTCTTCAACACAGCATGATGTTCATTTAGTAAATTATGGTCCCATTTAGGGGATCATTTTTATGCGGAGAGGTAAACCTGACCCCCGCGACCCCTGTACGCAGGACAAGCGGTTGACGATGGATGGATGGATGGAGGTAAACCTCACCGGCCGTTCACAGAGAGAAGCAGCGTCAGACAGTGAACCGCGAACAAGTGTCAGGTTTGTGAGTCTGCAGCTGTAACACTTGAGTTAAGTGACTAGTTTGATGTTATTAGGTCTCGCAATTAGAGACGTTCGGCTGATTCCGAGGTTCGTTTCCCTCCTGTGAAGCGCACAGTTTCAATACATCGGGTCTGAGCTTGCACCAAATGATCATCTCAGGGCGTTTTGCAGCTGATCTCAGCACATTAGTGGAATAAGAAGAGAGAATAATTGAGAAATATGGCGATAAAAATTAGAAAGACATGAGAGTAGAGAAAGATGAGGACATTTCCTCCTGATGACAAATATAACAAGCAGCCTATAGGTGCATCTGCTGTAAAATAGCTTAATATCGTGGAAAAGTTCATTTTCTTTCATAATTTAATTCAATAATACAATCTTATTAACATTTCAAGCCTTTTTTTCCCATTTCAATCTTGATGATTAGGGCTCATAGAATCAAAACTAATAATAGGCTAGTTTAATGAAAATCACTGTCCAATCACATCACATGTCTGAATCTCATAAATATCAACCGTCAGGTTAACCCCAACCCTTTTTGACCTTTATTGCACACATGAGACTAAAGTTATATACCACTATCTTTATTCATACAATGTGTGCAATGTGTGCAACTGTGACACAGAATTTCCCCTCTGGGATCAGTATTTCTGATTATGGTGGCATTTCCGCCTCAGTCTAACGGTGTTGCTATACGTTTTACACGCCACCAGATGCAACGGTGTTTGCTTAGCTTAAAGCCCCAAAGCTTCATAATGCTTCATCCAGTCATCACTACTTGCTATTGAAAAACACCAACCTGTGAGTTGGTTGATTTGACTGTTTGAGGGACTATTTTGTCACACAGATGAGTCACTAGGGAAGAGGAAGGACAAAGCAGGTGGATTAACTGCATTATGGTGATCCAGGGACTCCAGTAAAAATTAAATGTGAAAGCAGGTGAAATGGAAGAGGGACAAGAGATGAAAATGTGTTTAGAAGAAAGGAGTGAATGGAAGATGAGTAAAGGGAGCACAGATGCCAGAAGTAAATATAAGAGCATTTAATATTCTTTGCATCTTAAGTTTATGAGGAGTAGGGGTGAGAGAACAACGCCGGTGACCATGAAGGAGCTGAAATTCGTAAAGTAAATTAGGGATGCAAACTAGTCCTTTTAAGCTGACGAGGAGACGTTTTGTTTTGCATTTTAACGTGTAAATGAAATGCTTAGTAATTATCCAGAAATCACATAGAAAAAAAGATGCATGAAGATGAATCGATAATCGTTTTATAAATCGCATCACAGCCCAGATTGTGAGGTGCTTAAGAGATTCCCACCTCCAATGATGATCAGAAACTGTCAGACTATATTCCTACTGTACCTTGGTTATGTTAGCTAAAAATAGCACCATCAGATAAGTTTTGCCTCTCTTTAGTAGCCAGGAGTGAAAATGAGTGATCCTCAACATTTGTTGTGTTTTCGGTAAACTACAGTTAAACTACAATCAAATAAAAAATAGACTGTAGCTCTACAGGAGCATTATTTTCCCAGATAAGGTTTAGATTTTTAGGCAGTCTATCATCTCAAACAGCATGAAAATAGTGCATTTAGCCGGCTTAATGGGGAACAAATCTCCCCGGGGGTGCATGCCCCCTGGACACCCCTGGCTTTGGGCTAAGCCCCGAATGTTTGCAATGCCTGGCTCCTCCCCTGACGTGAATAACGGATGCACCTTGCCAACTAAGTAGCTAGCTCCACCCTCTCGTCCAAACGTGGTCACGTCTGGTTCCTGGTTGCAAAAGACCAAGATGGCGACGGCCAAAATGCCAAACTTGAGGCTTCAAAACGGCGGTCCACAAACCAACGGGTGACGTCAAGGCGGCTACGTCCTCTTCTTTTACACAGTGTGATATCAGCTCATTGTTTCTGTCTGTCCGGCTGCAGCTTTCCTGTTGTGGTTCACTCTCAAAGCTGCTCAACGTGACCGAGCAAAGACACCTCTTCAGCCTTCATCTTTTACCAGCGGTCAGTGAAGCACACACCAGAAGTCCAGCTCTGTGTGGTTCGATGTTTTTGCTGAAATGCACCATGGGAGTCGTAGTTGGCATCTCTCCTTCGTTTTAATGTCCACAGGCTTCTCAGACTTTTTACTTTTAATCAAAGAAGCAGATATTTTCTGACACAGTTGATCATCTGTTGTTTTGATTCAGCAGGAGAGTTTGACGTCCGTCAGAGACGTAAAGGGAGAGAACATCATCATCACGGGAGTGGTTACTCGTTCACCTGATTTGTGTTTGGATGGTGTTTGGGAACAATTGATTGGGAAATAAGTTGTTTTATCAGGGAGCTTTAGAGGAGCTGGTAGGTGGATTGTGTTGCATTTGCAGTGTACAAAGCCAGGCTAGCTGTTCCCCCAGTTTCCAGTCTTTATGCTAAGCTAAGCTAACCAGCTGCTGGCTGTAGCTTCACATTCTGAACACCTGACTCTCAGAGACGAAGATGATTTACCTAATATTTCTTTAGATTACTAAGACTAAAGATAAATAATCACATTTCCAACACTTGACAGTTACGTCACAGGTGTGGATCAACTGTTTGGTGTCCTCAGATGGTTTGTTTAAAGCCTGGATAAATAAATACCTTCCAGTTTCTTGATCTTCGCCGCCCTGGTGTCCAGCAGTTGGGCCTGTCGTCCCAGCTTCTGCTCGTACTCGACTCTGTCGGCGTCCATCTTCCTCAACACGGCCTCCAGCTCCGCCTCATTACCAGAGATTCAGAACAAAGCCCACTAAGCACTTACACTTCAGCCACTAAGGAGACTTTCTGCCGCATCAGATTTCATGAATGGCTTCAGTCACACACATGATTTACTCTCTTTCACCAGACTGAAGGTAGAAAGACACTGAAACAAGCATTTAGGTCTGGACTATACGCACAGACACAAAAAGAAAAGATAATGAAGGATAAATAAAAGAAAGGTAGAAAGTTTGCTGGTCTACATGTGAGCCCCTCCACCTTGTAGTCTTTGCAGATCTTGCTCTCCACGCTGAGGAGGTTTCTGGTCTTCTCCAGCTCCTGGATGGTTTCAGCGTGAGCGGCTCGTAGCTCTCGGACGGTGCTCGCAGTGTTGCCGCTCGCTCCCTCCTCCACCTCTTTCAGGAAGCCCAGATCTCCACTCTTCTGGGAGTTACGCGTCTAAGGGTGGGGACATTTAAAATTTAAAAAACCATCACGAAAACACAAATAAAACATTAAAAAAGTAAGTTGTAGCTCTGCTAGTCAATACTGCGTTCATATCATGCATTTAGTGAACTTTAAATGAAACGCTTCATTTCTTTATACATGCATTACCCCCAAAATCTCAAATAGCCTTTGAAATGTAAAATAAGAAATATCGATCCAACATTTTGACCTTTAAACAGCATCTTAGAGAGGATGACAGGACTTAGCATGAGAACTCCTGAATTGACTTGTAACGTTACATAAGGCTGAAATTCAGGCTTGGTGTTCTGTCGGGAGATGCATTTACTTAAACCATCGATGAGTACTGCAAAAATAAAAATAAGTATAAATAATATGTAATGTGTGAAGTGAAAGAGAAAGTTATAACTCCGTCATCTGAACGTAACTGGGCACAGCGGCTGAGAGGGGGTTTGGGCTGGAAAGGAAAAAGGTGCGCTGGATTTATAACACAAGACTAAACCAGAGCCTCATTGTGAAACAAACGGTATCACAATAATCGTTTTTGGTGGATGATCGATACGGGATTTTTAGTGGCTGATGCAGATATTTAGAGAGCAGGATGTATAATGCTGATTTTAAAACAAAGAAAAGTCCCATATAATCCAGTCTAATCTGCATGTTCTCTCGCCAGTAAGGTGTCATTTCAGATGAAGCTTTATTAATGAATGAAACAGAAACATAATTTGGGTTCTGCTGTAGATTTCAGAGCGACTTTGGTGTTTAAAGGAGAGCGGGGTACAACGGCATTACCCTCTACAGTATAAATATATATATATTTAGATCAGAGCTGCTGTCCTGTAGGATGATTAATCGGACAGAAAGTGCAGGTATCAGCTGAAGCCAACTATCTTAAAATGCCAGATATCGCCCTTCGTTGGACTAGCGACCTGTTCAGGGTGGACCCCGCCTTTCGCCCAATGTCAGCTGGGATTGGCTCCAGCCCTCCTGTGTGCAGGATAAGCGGTTGACGATGGATGGATGGATGGATAGATTAACTCTTATATTCATAATTGTTGGAAGCCAGAATCGTCACTGAAAATAAAATTTGATAAATCACACAGCCCTAATAAGTTGTATATATCCGTATCACAAATATATAGGTTTGTTGTTTATTAACAAACAAATCAATAACATTTAATCTAAAAAAAAAAGGAAGGTTTATTTCCCTACTTACCTTAATGAGCAGCAGCGCCTCGGTGAGTTCGGCCACGTCGTACTCACTCTCCTTTAAAGAACACAATATCAGTCAGATGAAGTGACCCTGAAGAACTACGAGTTTGTACATGCGTTCTGCAGAGAGGCCCGAGCTGCTGTGAAAGCCAGCTGTTTCTTTATGTGGAGAATTTAAAAAAGTCTGACTTGGTGCCGCCCAACAGACTGGCTGACAGCAATGCACAGTTCCCTCTCATAACTCAGAGAGGACCTCATGAAGCTGGATTAATACTTCTGTGATCAGGGGCTCTGCAGCTGAGCCACAGTTGTTCCTTCTCAAACATGTAACGCTGTAGCGACCACATGGACGCCACATGCAGACACCAGGAACTCTTGATTGGTCAGCTTCAGTTTCTGGTTCTGGTGGAGAAGACTGTTTAGAGCGAAGACATGATCCTATGTGTAATCGTATGTGAGTGAGATGGTCATACTCTCAGTGCTTGGTTCCCTCCTCTTCATCATCTGCACCCTTCCACTTGGATAGATCCTCCGCCGCCATGGCCTCCGTTTCCACTGCTACGCCGATGACACTCTACTTTTCATCTCTTCCAAAATCATCACCCACACCACCCTCAGCACTTGTCTCACAGACATAAAGTCTTAAATGCAACAGAACTTCCTCAAATTCAAATGCAATAAATCTGAAATCCTTCGGCCCTAACCCCCTCACCTAACCACTCTGGCCTCTCCCTGCCTCTCTGACCTCCTCCCCCGCCACACCTCCACTCGTTGGCTCAGGTCCATGGACGCAACAACACTAAAAACCAACAACCAACAAAGCGCCAGACTTGGGGTGGCAGGGCCTTTTTCTTTGCAGCACCCTCCCTCTGGAACTCCCTCCCTCACCGCATCCCACAGGCTAACTCCACGCCATCTTTCAAACAGGCCCTCAAAACCCCACCTTTTCAAGAACTAATAAATTCCTTCCACTGTCTCCCCTTTATTTCCTCTTTTAACCAATTACTTTCATTATTCTTCCTGTAAGAAGAGAGCAGCGCCATATAAATCTAATTCATTATTATTATTATTATTATTCGGTGATGAAACAAGGCCAACTTTCCTACCATCGCTCTGTATCACAAAGCACATGACAGCATGTAAAAAGTTAAAGCACGATGCATCAGGACACACCTATGTCCCGCGGTGATATCAACAGGTAAAGTCTGACACTGAACTATAAATCAAATCCCACACTGCAGGACTCCTAAATAACCCCTGACATTGAACATAAATCTTTCACTGCATCAGTTTTCACCAGAATTGTCTCTTTGTTGTAGAAACACTGCCATTAAAAGCAGTTGAAAGATAAGACAGTCACCAACACACCCAGTAGCTCCAGCTAGCAGAGTGTGAAACTACTGCTTTTGATGTTTGATGAAATTTAAACATTGTGTAAAATATGTCCACGTTCTTTGAGTCCGCTGCCTCTGTTCTGACCAGGGTTGGTCTCTAACATGAAAAACCAGGACAGGTGTGACCTAATAGGTTAACTCAGAGGTATAGAGGGTCTCCAACCATGGGACATGTGTGTTTTACTCCACCACCACTTTAAAATCTCACCCTGCTGTAGAATTTCAGACGGTCACGGAGCTCCTCCAGCTGCTGCTTCTGTTCCAGAAACTGGATATGAAGTTTCTTATTTTCCTCCGTCAGCTTCTCACTTGTATCTGAGAAAAAAAAACAACAACAATCACTTTGATGAGCAGCATGCAGCGCAGCTATAATATTCAAGTGAAGGAAGTAAAAGTACCTCGCTCAGCCTTGATTTTGTCGAGGATTTCGTTTTTGTCGACGAGGTCGGCCTGCAGCGCCGTCTCCAGCTGGGCGATCTGTAACTTCAGCTGCTGCTCCTGAATCTGCCACTTCTGTTCCCGAGACACGTCGAAGGCGCTGGAAACGTTTGGCGAGATGAGAGCGTGGAGAGCGAAAACATTTGATGGTCTGATCACCATCCAGCATGCTAACATGCGCTACTAAACAAAAGCTTTGTGGGTTCAAATGAAATCCTCTTAAATAAAGTGCTTGTTGGAAAATGGTCTGACATGTTAGGGAGCGGTGCAGCCTGAGGTCGAGGTCACCTTGTGATTGGTTGGATCAGAGTATTTGTGTTGGACGCAGTGGGACTTTGACATGTAGATGATAACCAGGGGTTTAAAAAGGAAAACTGCCCCATGGCTCAGTTGATGAATTGATGATTGGGAAAGATGGCTGAACAATTAATCTATATATTATAAAAGTCGCAGAAGGAACCTTTTAGTTCCATGGAAAAAGATCTGGGGACTTAAAAGTCCCGGGTACTTTTGGTCTAAAAGCCATCCAGACCTCTCAGGTGATCTGGGATCAGGTCTGCTTTCTGTCCCCAGAGTCCAAACTAAACCTGGAGAAGCAGCGCTCAGTTTTTATGCTCCGTATATCAGGAACAAACTCCCAGAAAACTGCAGGTCTGCTGAAACTGTCAGTTCTTTTAAATCAAGGCTTTTATTTTTACGTCTGCCTTTAATTAAATTAAAAGCTATAGATTGATAACTTTCACTGCACTGTAACTTTTACTGTCCTGTTTTATCCAGTTTTTATATTTCTCTCTTTTAAAAATTGTATTTCAATTACTTTTTTTTATTCCCCAACAATACGTTTATGTTTTGTGTAAAGCACCTTTAATTGCCTTGTTGTGAAAATGTGCAAATACACTTGCCTTAGTGGGAAGTGGACTGGAGGCCAATCATACGCATGTGTATCAGTCTTAAATAAAGGTAAACATGAAAGAAACTGAAGTGCTTACCTGTTGACCAGTTTCTCATTGTTCTCCTTCAGCTGGTCCCTCTCCTGCTCCAGTTCACTGATCTGCTCCTGCAACTAGAGAAAACACAGAGTCTGTCCTGTGGTTCCTCTCCAACCACAAGGTCCTGCCTGACCGTACGATCCAGCGGACTGACACCTCGCTGTCGGCCATCAATGTAAAGACAGACAGTGAGCAGGTTCAGACAAACTTCTGAGACTATAAAAAGCTTAATTTACATTTTAAATTCAGTTAGTGTGATCAGTTAATGAGCTGACAAAGAGCTTATGTATGAAGTTATGTTCTGTATTTAAGTTCGTGATGCATGATGTATTTTAAGCCGTATATTTTTACTGCCAATTATCATTACGGGCACAAATTACCGTTTCAGCAGCAGCTGGCAGAGCGAGGTTAATGCTGCAGACATGATGGGCCTGCTTATTTATCTTACTTAGGAATCAAAGTGATTTATAAACGTTTTTGTGTGTGAGGGCGGACGATCTGAGCTGCTAACAGTTAGTGAGTTAAACTACGTTCTGTGCTGCACTACATGATGATAAGCACGGGCCTGCTGCTTTCAGAACATTTCTGTCAGTAAGCTATGAAAGGGAGAAAACGTAAGCTTTCTTCAGGGGGCCAGATTTGGCCGCACAGCATCAGGACGCCATCTGTAAATCTCAAACACATCTCATTCATTGGGACTCTTTTCTCCAGAGCGAGTGTCAATAAGCGCATCCAAGCTGAGAAGGAACAACAAGAGCGAGACGAAGAATCGGAAGCGACAAAATGCAGCATATCCTGCTTTTTACCTGAGAAGCTGGAACCAGATAATCTTTAGCATCCCTGTGAGTGCAAAAATGGTTGAAATGATTAATCAATTATCAAAAAGTTGCCAATTAAATTTTGTTTGATTGATTAACCAATTAATTAACTGTTGCAGCTCTATGACGAGGAAACCCAGAATAATGCACATGTAAATATCTGTAACGTTGTTCGTTCTCTGCAAATAGTTGTATATATTCTTCTCTCTTCTTTTATTATTCTTATATAACTTGCATTGTTTATTCCATATTTATATATTTCTACATTTATCTATGTCCGCCGTATGTTTGTCTGCGTGTAGCACCTTATCACCAAAGCAAATTCCTCGTATGTGTAAAACACTACTTGGCAGTAAAGCTCCTTCTCATTCTGATTCTTCTGAGCTGAAGTCTGGAAAGGTGAGTTTTCAGCCACGGCTTGACCGAGATGAGAGACCACTTAACTGTCCTACAGCTTTGAACTGGATGAAGATGCAACAGAGAGACGTCTTCCAAACAAACAGGTTTTTGTGAGTAACCATGTTTGGGCCAGTCACCTGCTCCACCCTGATCTTAGATATGGTGGAACTCTGCAGCCGTTGCTCCAGGTCCAGGCTCTTCAGCCTCTCGTCTTTCAGCTGACCGGACAGCTCGTCCACTTTCGTCATCGCTGCATCGAGACTGACCTTCAGCGTCCTCTGACTCTGAAATCCACAAATTAACATTCAGAAAAAAACCTTCCGGATGACATATTTTAAAGGAGGAGTCTGGTAAAAGTACATATTTTCTTTATCTTTCTTCAAATCTCATGCTCAGACTCAAACCAGCTGTGAGCGTGTCTCCCAACGAGTCCTGGGACGTCTCACAGCCTGACGTGTCCTCTTCCTCATGTTCCTTCATCACCATGAACACTGTAGTTTAGACACCGTCCTGCTGCACAACACTACAGCACCACAAGTGGATTCATCCCCCAACAGATGCACTATTTCCTCCTGTCTGTCTGACAGAAACTGCAGCGAGCAGCTGTTTCAATAATTGATTGAGAATTTTAAAGGTGAAGCTGTACATCTGTTTAAAGATTTACGTCTTCAGGAGGAACCAATGGGCTGACAGCCACAGACAGGAAGTCAGAGAGGACTGAGAGACGCACTGACATGTTGCTGGTTTTAGTCTTTTCAAGGGATTTGTTGACGATAGAAGCTCCTCACCTCTTGTAGTTGTAGAAATCGTCCCTCCAGCTCTGTGACGCCGTTGGACCTGTCGGCCAGCTGCTTCTGCAGCTTGATCATCGTCACGTTGTTGTTGACGTGTGACCTGAGAGACAACAACAACAACAACAACACATGAGGCCATGAGGTGTTTGTTTACACAGTTCTCAAACACACAGATCCACAGCGTGTCCCACTCACTGTCCCAGAGAGAAGCAACAGACGGACGCAGTGCTGAAGCTAATTAGGAAACTCTGAACACAACATGTCCTCGTTAGGGCTGGACAATAAAACAATAACAATAACTTTTTTCAATAACAAATATTCAATAAACGTTTGATTTTATTCACTTGAATCATAAACGAATTAGGATTTAATTCCTCTATGAAGATATTTATTTTGTTTGTTGTTGAAAAAAGCTTTTACTTAATTTTCCTCGTGCATATTTGCTGACAAAGATTTTATCATAATTATTTTGAATGTTCTACCTCAGATTTGTGAAGTGATCCACTGCTTGGCCTCAAGTGTTGACCGTAAAGAAGTTTTAACCACAATTAACCATCAGGTTTCCTCAACATTCACTCAGGAGCAAAAATCAGCCTTAAAACTTGAAAGAAATAACAATTTGATTCTTGATTTTGATGGAAAGATATGAAACTTTTTATCGTGAGAACATTTTTGTCCGTATCGTCCAGCCCTAGTCCTGGTGTGTGTGTGTGTGTGTATCATACACTGACATGTAGCTGTGAATAAATATATGTAGGCGTATATTCAGCGTTCACATCCGTGTTGTGTTTTTAAGTCGTTCCATGTCTGTGACCTTCTAAGGAAAAAAGACACGACTGATTTTCGACTTTATAAAACATGCTGCTGATTGAGAAAATGGAGCAGACGGGGGGAGAGAAGGGCGGGGCCAGCCGGGGTGTTTACCTGAGGTGTAGGTGTGTGTGTCAGAGTGTGGGGAGAGGCAGGTCCAAAGCATACTTAAAAACAATAAGAATGTTCGTGGTCATTGAAATCTGCTTTCACAAGCTTCTATTATGTGAAAATTTGAGATTTATTTTGCTGGGCCAACGAACGATGACATCGCCGATCGGCCCAACCCTACTTCAAAGTGCTCGTTTTGTCCAAACAAACAAAATAAAAGCAGCAAATCATCTGAGAAGCTGGAACAAGACAATGTACGAGTAACGAGTATCAAAATAGTTAGTGAATAATTTATTTTAGGGAGCTTTATGTTTTCTGAATCGAGAGCCTGAGGACAGAGGGGGTCGTACGCTGAGCAGGCTGTAAAGCCCCTTGAGGCAAATGTGTGATTTGTGATATTGGGCTGTATAAATAAACATTATGTTGTTTTGTGGGATCAACTGACAGATGACATCTGGGGCCATTTATGCATGTAAATATTGTTTTTACAAACAGCTTTATTAAACTGTTCAAACTTTTGAGGAATTTGACAACGCTGACATTTCATTAATATAAATATAATATTAGTGTGTGTGGAGCATATTCCAGCATGGAGTCACTTCACTCCTTTTACCTCAGTTTGGAGGTCTGTTGCTGTCGGACCTGCAGAAGCCTCTCCTGATATTCTGCCTCCTTCTTCCTCAGTTCGTCCCTCAGCTGCTCCGAGACTCCCTCCATCTCCTCCATGTGGCTCCGCTGGAGCTCGATCACGTTCTCTCTGGCGCACAAAGAAAGCTCGCTGGTTAGCTTCGGTTATCTCAGCTTACTACAGATACAGCAAACTTACAACTGTCTCCAGTCACACGGCATTTCACATGAACACAAACACAGTGCAAAGAGTCGGGCACGTTCCCTGAAAGCTGTTAATTAATTACGCATTACATAATATTTTACTAATTAACCAGCAGAAAAAATAATGAGTTTACTTTACAACTTCACGGCCCCCCCCCACATTTCATATTCTGCATTTAACCCGTGTAGAAACAGGAAACGAGAGGTTTGACAAGCAGTTTGCAGGGATTTACAGTCAACTAAGTTAAAGTTAGCCTCTGTGACTGCACACGGCAGCTCTCCACAAGTCCTCACAGTGAAGCTGTGGGGTTCACACTTCAGCCACCACTGAACAAAACCAGCTGATTCACTTCTGTTGGCCTGTCGGTGGCTAACGTTAGCGAGCCAGCTGAGAACACACAACAAGTGAATTAAACGCTGGAGTTACCAGGTAGGAACTCTTCTCCTGCACCAAGCGAACACGTTCGGTCTGTCCTCTGAGATCAAACTGATCAAGCCGACCCCCAAGATGTTACTGTGATCTCGATATTTAGAGAGCATGGTGTATAATGCTGACATCAAAACAAAGAAAAAAGTTAAGTATAATTCCATTAATCTAACTTCCATGTTATTTTAATACGTAACGTGTTGTTTTAGATGTAACCTTTATTAATTAATGCACTAGCATCGTTCTACACTGACAAGGCTGCATGCAGATGCGTCCGCGTGGTAACATTAACATTTATTCATTTAGCTGACGCTTTTATCCAAAGTGACTTACAATCGCTATACATGTCAGAGGTCGCACGCCTCTGGAGCAACGAGGGGTTAAGTGTCTCAAACCCGGGTCTGTCACACCAAAGGCATGTGTCTTATCCACTGCTCCATTGCCGCCCATCACCAGACATATTCCCTATAGCTGAAGTTCAAATTGTAATCCCTTGCACTACTGTTACGGAAACTAACAGTGTTTTATTTTGATAAATGATCCGGAGTAAAGAAGTCTGTAAAGAGTTGCAGGAGAATGACCCTTTAATTTGAGATAAACATCCTCCGACTTTCAGAGAATATAAACGAGACAGATTTAAGCACAACTCTCAGGGTCAGAGGTTACAGACTTTGGTGATCGCGGTAAAATATGGATCAAAACTACAAAGAGTTTTCTTGATTATTCAGTGGAGCTTCAGCAATTAATCAAATAATAGCCAACTATTTTAATGATGGATTCGGCGGTTTGAGTCCTTTTATGAAGAAAAAACTAATTTCTCTGATTCCAGCTTCTTCAATGTGAATATTTTCTGGTTTCTGTGACAGTAAACTGAATCTCTTTGGGTTGTTAGGACGTCGCCTCGGGCTTTGGGAAACACGACATCGTTCACCATTTTATAGACCAAGCAACTAATCCATTCATCGAGAAAATAATGACAGATTAATCAGCACTGAAAGTTATTGTTAGCTGGAGCCCTGTTATTCACCACCGTGGTTAATCTGTGTCATGTCTAAACACAACGTGCAGGAGAGAAGAACTCTTGCTTCAGGTTAGATCTTGTTAGATAGGCTGAGACGCTGGGTGGGCGTCTCTGGCACAGCATTGTACTGGTTTGCCTCGTATTTGTCAAACAGGAAGTCCTGTGTGTCTATCAATAACTTTAAATCCACCTTTTCTCCTGTTTATTACGGTGCGCCCCAAGGATCAATCCTCGGACCTATTTTGTTTTCTATTTTGGCTTTGATCACCTTAGAAATATCGCAAGAATAAAACCTTAAATCTAAAATGCCAGAGATGCAGAAACTGTTATACATGCTTATATTTCGTCTCGCCTAGACTACTGCAACAGACATGTCTAAATAAAAAAAACTCAGCTGCTAGTTTATTAACCCAAACTAGGAAGTACAACCACATCACTCCGATTTAGATCTCTTTTGGCTCCCTCTCTGTTTTAGGATTGATTATAAGCTCTTATTGATTACTTTTAAAGCTCTTAATGGCCTGGCTCCAGAATATATCCATGACCTTTTAACCCCTTAAGATCCTGTGCGCAGCCCGAGAGCCTCCGGTAGGATCCCTGAGTCCAGAGTCCAGAGTCTAGAGGAGATAGAGCCTTTGCGGTTAAGGGCCCCAAGGCTCTGGAATTATCTGCCTGACGACATCAGGAAATCGGAGTCGGTATCTGATAGGCTAGCCCTCTTATTGTTGTAATTTCATTTTAATTTTATGCATGCTATGGCTTATTTTGTTGTTGACTTTCTAACCGTTATGATTTTAAATGTTTTTATCTGCTGTGAAAGCATTTTTTACTCTGTTTGATAAGTGCTCTACAAATAGAGTTATTATTATTATTATTATTACTACATGTGATGTTTAAACCAGCTGATTTAAAAGTGCTGGCTCTCTATTGGTCGTGTCTGATGGACGGACGCCGGGCGATGACGCGCAGCACTCACAGGTTGCGGATCTCGGCTCTCGCCTCCTCCAGCAGGCTGTGTCCGAATCGAGGTAAGAGGCCGGTCGGGGGTCTCCCACCTCCCTCCAAACTCCTGGTACCTGCAGGAGACAAAAGAGTTTGTCCACACAAGACATTACTGCAGTGGTGGTTCTATCCATGAGAGATATTAGCTGTAACGTAGCTCGGTAAGAGGTGAAGGAAAAACAATCAGCGAATCAGCAAATGAATCTGTGTACCCACAGCGCACTGACTGTTTCACAAAGATCGGTATTTAATGTTTTAAAGGGCCTGTGTAATATTGCTTTATGGATGTCTGACTAGGTCTGTTGTGTTTTTATGTTTTCTTACGTGTTTTCTTATGTGCACTTAATTTCGTTGTACTGTTGAAAAGATAATAAAGATATTCTATTTTATTTTACTAGACAATAACTAAGAAAAACTCTTGTCTGATTTTTTTCGGGACAAATAGGAGGACGTGAGAGACACAAAGAAGAGAGTTTCTTAGTAGTTACACAAATCAGACACATTTTAAATTTCAAAATCTATTTCAGTCTGTGGCCTTTTTTTTTTCCATTTCCTGTTTTTGCCTTGAGCATGAAATCAAAAGTAAGTAAAACAAGCTTGTTTTTTGGATCAGACGGACTCGGACTGAGCCAGACGGACTTGAAACATGAAAAAAATGAAAGATAGAAGCTAAAGCCTACCGATCACACAGTACATCCCCCAACGACTGAGACAAAAGACAAAAGATATTAAGGATCAGCTCATTATTTCATTATTACGGCCTTTAAAAGGAGAACAGTATGGTTTTATTACGTTACATTCAGTAGGAAGCTAACTAACATTACATTAGGAACAATCATGACAATCCACAACATTTTTGGATTTATTTTAGGTTTTGGAAAGAGAATAAATCGTCCTTTTCCTTTCAGCCTCTCTGGGTAGCGACTGTAACTTTTACTAGATGCCGCAGGAACAGCGTTTGACCAGATCTTGGAAAAATACAGCTGAAAAAAGCTAGAAAACGACGAGTCAATGGAGCGCAGCCATGAAAGTGTCAGACCTCAGTTAGGGCGAGTCCTATACTGCGCTGTGATTGGCCAGCTGTGTATTCGGGACGTGGCTTAGCGAAGGGTCATTTGAACATGAAAAGAACGAAAATGATACAGATTTCCATGATTACTTCATTACCATCACATCAATCACAACATGTGAATTTGTAAAAGTAGAATTTTGGTGCATATCGTGCCCAGCAAGCAAGAAGGGATCAACCGGACGCCACAGCCCGCTCTTACTTTGGCGACCCCCGGTTGGCCCGATGACGGCAGCTGCTCAAAGGTGAGAATTTAATGAAGATTAAGTAAAGTGAAATTAATGTCACGTGACTTAGGCTGGTGGTTTTGCCTCAGCGAATATGTCAGTGTGATCAATGTACCCGTCTGTTAAAACTGGATTAAATTTATTTTAAAACATGTTTTACATAATAAGATTTATTCTGATAAACATGTTATCTGTTCTACAAGTTCTCCTACACACATGCTGAGGTAAAAGTGTATAGAAAGCAGCATCCTTTCATACATCTCAGTGTTTTGTCTTGGACTTCTCAACCAAGACCTGGCCGGAGGCTGTGATGGAGTCACAGGGGCGACAGACTGTCGGGAGTTCTGCCGACATGGTGATTAGATTCTTTTTCATTTTGTGGTGAACTTGTGTGCAAGAACAAACCTACGTACATCATTACAGTGATCATCTAAAACCTTTACATATGAATATCTGGGACGAACTTTTTGGTCGTGTTTGGGAGGGAGAGGACGCGTCATCTCGCAGCTTCTTCAAGCCAGAGCTGACCCGTGACTGGACGTGGCCGTACGGCGTCGGCCTCCTGCTCTGAGAGTTGATGAGCTGCTGCTTGGCCACGAGGAGGCGCTGTTTCAGTCCCTCGTTCTCGGCCTGCAGACCCCGGACTTTCTCATGGAGCTCCTCTATCATCTCTTCCATCTCCACGTCACGTACCCTGGAGACCGGCTGGCCTCCCCCCACCGCCAGCTGCTCCATACGACCTCGGTCCTTCACCAGCCTCATCAGCTTTGTGGCCAGCCTGAAGGGTGGAGGCGGACAGGTGAGGATTAAAAGTCATGAGAAAACAGTTTTCTCGTGATGAAGGTTTTTACACAGCCTGTGAAAACGTCTCCGGAGGCTCTGGAAGAAGTTTGTCATAGTGATTTTAACGACAGCCGGTGTTGCAAAGCGGAGTTGTGGCCAATTTGAAGCCATCTAATTAAGCTGCAATGTGGGAGATGTAGGATCCTGTGTTTTTGGAGTTGGATCTCGAATGATCCATCGTGTTTTTAAGTGTGTCTTTTGTGAATCCCCAACTTCATGGAAGTGCAATAATAAATCTCTGTGGAGCAAAGTCATCTTGAACCTGCGGAGTTTTCTGTATTGACTTTTATGTTCTTTTTCTGTTGTTTTTGTTTTTCTTTGTAATTATATAAAGTATGAGAAATGTCATGTTTCTTCTGTGAAACCAAGAGCGAATATTTTATTGTTTAACTGTTAATATCATTGTATATTTGAATGTCTGACATATATTTAAAATTCAATAAAAATATTGTTAAAATAAAAGAATTTAAAAATGTATCTCTGGAGTAACCTTATAAGCGGAAAAAGGCAGTTCAAACTAGAAATAAATATACCATCATTTGGATGATTGATTAATTAATTGTTTTTAAAGCAAAAAGTTTGAAATGCGATGTGTCAGATCTTTGTAAACTGGATATCTTTGGGTTTCAGACTGTTGGTCAAACAAAACAAGCTGTTTATACAACTTTTCTTAAATATAATCTTTTAAATCCTAAATGTTTTTAAAGGTCGAAAATCTTGAAAACTGACCAAATCATAAGAAAGTCTTATTTTGCTCCGAGCACTTGAGAGATGTGTCTCAACCCATTAACAGTATTTCAAATGACGAAGATGAAGATGTTGCAACTCATGCGTGTGTGCGTCTCACTTCTTGATCTTGTCGTCCTGTTTGTGAATGTGTCCTTTGAGGTGCAGCGTCTCCTCATGGAGGCGCAGGAACCGGTCCTCCAGCTCCTCCCTGGACACCCGCGAGATGTCCTGTCGCGTCCGAGCATTTTGAAAGACTGATGGATCTGTCGCCATAAAATAAAACATAATTTTCAAGCACGAAGCTGTAAGTAAACAAACTGAAATTCTAAGATTAAAACACAAAATTCACGTGTGCACAGAAGCTACAAGTAACAGAGAAGAGAAAGATCTACTGAACAGAATACACTTAAAAAAGCACACAAATGCAGCAGGGTAAAAGTTCATAAGGTTGCTTGTGCAATGTGATTATCCTGAGGCTGAACTAAACTCCATTCATATTGTCTCCCTTTGTCTTCATACGAGACTTACAGTCACATCAGATGTAAGTCATTTATTTCATTGCAGCACAATTCAGCAATTAGTTTAACTACACAGCACATGTAGTTACTGTGTTTATATCTTCTGTTAGGACGCGCAGCCTGACAGACCTTGTGGACCGGCTGCAATCCGGGACAGGGTCACTGTGAGGTCTCTGACCGGCACATCTGCTGCTGTCTCATCAAGCAGAGTGGACATATTTCAACCTGAAACATTCAACATTTATATTCACCGTCACCATCAGCCAAACACTGGGTCTAGACCTACTATATTATAACATTATTTATAAACTATCTCTGGTGGAAAGTACACATGTACTATCAGCAAACAGTAAAAAGAACTCGTTATGCAAAGTGGTCCCATGTAGAATATTACAGTATTTTCTATGATTTCATTAGTATTACTACTGTCTCATCACCTTTTCAGCCACTTTATGCCAAACACTGGGTCTGTATCTAGCCCTAATTAAATTAATACAAAACGTTACGCATGGAGAAGAAAAGTTATGCCAAACTCCATCAAAAATCTGTTAGATTTACACAAATGTCTGTGTGGAAATAAAAAAACAAACAGGACAGAACAACATTTAGGATTATAACTGACAGCTTCGTCTTCTAATGGATTCGGCATACAAATGACAAACCAAGAGCCTTTCATTTTAATATTACCTAAAAATTTATTACGAAAGATTCGTTCCGCTAACATCGCAGTCAGATTTAATACTCCATCTAAAATATTCCTAAAGATGTGAAATTTCACTGGAATGCGTGCTGCTTGCTGTGTTGGATATTTGCCGAACTGAAAAGAGGCTTTTTACGGTTCTTCTTCAGTTTGGGGCCCGGTGTCTGAAGGACTTACTAACATCGTCTTTACCAGTTAACTAGAAAGCTGCCAGAATTTAAACGCAGTTTGGCGTCACATCCTCTTCACTGATTTAAAAATCATCTTAGATAAATAAAATAATTCAAACATCTGGGCGTAGCATAAGTAAACGTATCCCCGACGGTTAGAAATGTGTGTGTGGTAAAATAAACTCGAGAGGTTTTGTGTTTGTCGTTGTTTTTAATCAAATCAATTCATTCGAGTTTAACTTACTGTAGCTAACGTTAGCTCAGCTAGCTACACAAGGCTAACTGTTTCTTCTATGATAATATTCAACAGAATTGACGCATGTATCTGTCTGTATTAACAAAAACATGTTTACACGATTTTCATGCTCACTTTTTGCACATTTCTTACCTTTTACAACGACTTTATTCAGTCCAGAGTGACGGTTGCTAGTGAAAACATAACCGTTCGTCATGTCGTTATGACGGTACTGCGCATGTGCAGCATATGAGGAGATTTCTGGGAAATGAAGTCTTCTCTGAAATTAAAGGTCGTTGCTACTGTTGGTGCTTTTTACTTGCTCAATATGTATTTTTAAACTGTAATGGTCAAATGCACATATGTTATACACTACATTTTCCAGAAACTACTGGCTTTCACTCATAGGTGCAATTTACACCGGAGACGCTGGGGACATGTTCCCATCATTTTCTGAAAGCATCATTTGCTAAAACGCTCTGAAAATAGCTTGCAACGAGAAATTAATTAACTACTAAAGAGGATTATGGTCACACGTGAAAACATTATTTGAGTTCTGAATTTAAAGTCAGAATTCTGAGAAATAAAGACGAAGTTTAAACTCACAACTCAAATAAAATTCTTACGTAAAATTAAAGTTAGAATTCTGGCTTTTATCTCAGAACTCAGACTTTTAATTCAGACTTTTCTGAATTCTGAGATTAAACTCAGATCTCAAATTCACTTTTTCACATATGCCCGAATCCTCTTCCATAAAGGTTTATTTGCACAATAAGAAAACAATGCAATTTAAATAGGCTATAGAAGAAGCTGTGTTTCCACTAAAGGAACTATACCCCAGAACTGGGAACCTTTAGAGGAACTCAATGCGTTTCCACCGAAGGGACCAGGGTCTATATTTAGTTCAAGGGTTTTATTTTACCCCCCAAAAAGTCCCTGCTCGGGGGTTGTGCATTATCCCAAAAAAAGTAACTTAAGCTTAAAAAACCACCTGCTGATTACTGCATTATATTCAGTTATACTTTCTTATTTTGAATTGTCACCAGCCAGCTGAATTTTGTTTCCCTTTATATAATTAAAAACATTTCCACCATAAATTGGTGCAGAAAAGTTCCCCAGAATGCAGGAATTTAAGTGTTTATGGCTCAAAATGTCATATATATTTCAGCACTGAATATTTCTTCAAAATGGAGTTAAAATATCTTCTCGTCTTGCTCTCGTGCATCGTCTCGTCTCGTGAGCTAAGTGTATCCTCACAGCCCCAATCTGAGCCCCGATGTCCCTCCGCCACCTGCTTTCACTCCACAGATTCTTTATCACACTCAGACGTAACTGGAAAACACAACGTAAGCTTTAGATGTGAGTGAACGTGTGACTCTAACCTCTATTTTTTATTTTTTTACTTGTTCCTGTATTTTCATGTAAATTTCCATCACGTTTCTCCCTCATACGTCTCCTGTGTACATCCATCAGCTCCATTTCAGCTGCTTTACATCATCTTTCCCCCAGGACAACCTGTCTGAAGGGACTTGGGCCAATTTGAGGACTTGTGTCTGCCCTGACTTTGCATGTAGGCCTATTTATGAGCAGCGTGGCGGTGCGACGGCTCACTGGTACACATACATCCTGGGGAATCTGACAGGCACGCTGTCAGATGTCTGCCTTTCATGAATTGGCAATGGGTCTAATTTAGCAGCTTGAGATGACTGTGCTGGCTGGACAGAATGAGTTCAACCTGCATGTCAGGCTCATGGTTTTGCTACGTAGCGCTCGCTGGGCCGTGACAGTCTCCCATCACTGCTGCTTCTCCCAGCCGTGACCTTTGACCCCTCCCCACGTCTCTTTAGGCTGGGATGGTGCTGTATGAGCCGGCGGCCCGGCCGGCGATGGAGCGAAATGTGCGTCTTGTCAGCAGATTGTCAGAGAGTCAGCCTGTCGTTGAATCTATGATGCCTGCCGACCTTTTGCTCAACAGGCCGTGCCCACCTCCGTGCAACAGCTGTCAAGTGCACGATCAGGCGAGCATGGAGGCTCTTTCTACCTTCATCTCAGCCCCGTATTGTAATATAAGCAGATTTCCCCTCAAACACCCTCCATCTTGGGTTTTTATTTAAAACAAAAATCAGAATAGTTCAGACCTGTCGTGAGATGATATAACATCCGACAGACAACGATGGAGGAAGTATTCAGGTCTTTTAAATTTTGATATTTAGTTGACGCTTTTATCCAAAGCGACATACAACTGCTATATATGTCAGAGGTCGCACGCCTCTGGCAACTAAGGGTTAAGAGTCTACACATTTATTTAAGTAAAAGTACTAATACCTATATAGTGCTGCATTGAAAATGTTACTTATAATATAAATATATGTCCATATAATCAAGAAAATATACTTAAAGAACAAAGTAAAAGTACTGAAAAATGTCCCCTGTAACTGTCATTAGAATATTATTATTATGACTCATGCATTAATGTTAAACCAGGATTTTACTGCTGTAGTTGGTGGAGGTTGAACTATTTTGTATCAGACTGCAATTAATTGATTTTTCTCTACATTAATCAATTGTAAAAATTCTGAAAATAGTGAGAAATGTTGTCGCAGTTACCCAGAGCCCAAAGTGACTCCTTCACAATGCTTTTGTCAGTCCAAACCTCAAAATGATTAAAAATAATTTATTAAAATCTTCACATGAAATGTATGAAAAAATGATTTAAATGTTCAAAATAATCTAATTTCTGTCAATCACTGAGTGTACTATCTGTACTTGTATAAACTGTTGGGGTTTAATTTATAACAAAACATCATCTTTTATAAACTCTTCATGTGTAAAAATCTGACTTTGTAAAGTAATTGAAGCTGTCAGATAAATGTAGTGAAGTAAAAAGTACAACATCTCCCTCTGAGACGGAGAAGGAGAAAGTGGCATGAAAAGTAAAGTACAAGTACCTCTGATTTGTACTTAAGTGCAGAACTCGAGTAAATGTACTTAGTTACTATCCACAGTTGCTAACAGTCGTCCACAATTTAACAGTACTGGAAGGACCTTTTACTTAAAGTCACTTCACTGTGTTCACCTGTTTGAGCTTCACTGTGCAGACTTATGTTTGTGCAAGAGTTTGTTTTCACATTCATCTGCTAAAAGGAGGAGAAGTTTCTCTGAGCTTCACCTTAAATCTCAGTTTAACACCAGGACGTACCTGCGCTACAAGTTTGGAGCCAATCAGGAGACATGAGAGAGAAACTAATTATAATCCCAAGCAGAGTTTCTGTAAGTCTTAAAACAAAAAGTTATGCCAAACTCCATTTGAAATATGTTAGATTTGCACTAATGTCCCTGTGAAGATTCAGGATGGAACAAGATTTAAGATTATAACTGACAGTGTGTGTCTTCTAGTGACAAACCAAGAGCCTTTCATTTTAATATTATCTAACATTTTATGGCTAAAGAAATGTCATATTTCACTGAAATGCGGCTGCTTGCTGAGTTCAATTTTTTTTTCTATTCAATTTTATTTATATAGCGCCAAATCACAACAACAGTTATCTCACAGCGCTTTTCATAAAAGAGCAGGTCTAGACCGTACTCTGTGATGTTATTTACAGAAGCCCAACAGTTCCCACCAAGAGCAGCACTAGGCGACAGAGGCAAGGAAAAACTTCCTTTTAAGAGGCAGAAACCTCGAGCAGAACCATGGCTCAGGGTGGGCGGCCATCTGCCTCGACCGGTTGGGGTGAGAGAGAGAGATGTAAGGAGAGAGAGAGAGAGATGTAAGGAGAGAGAGATGTAAGGAGAGAGAGAGGGGAGGGAGGCAGCCTACACAATATCCACACAGAGGTACACACAGTGAAGGTAATGTTGCTATAAACTAAATGAAAAATGGTACAGATATTTATAATAGTGTTAATGGTAACCATCATAATGTTAATGATTATAATAACAATAATAACAATAAGACTAGCAAAAATAGTCGTTGCAGCAGAGGGTGTCGAGCAGGAACACGGGGGCAGCAGGTGACCCGCAACCACAGATCCAGACTCCACAGCTCCAGAGCCAGAAACACCTGCAGGAAGTGATAGGAGGAGAGAGGAGAGGGACGAGAAAGCACAAGACTACCAGAAAGGGGAGAAGTTGTGTTAGTAACATGCAATAATGGGATGAGGTTGCATACAGAGGGAGAGAAAGTAGAGGAGAGAGGAGCTCAGTGCATCATGGGAAATCCCCCGGCAGTCTAGGCCTATAGCAGCATAACTAAGGGATGGTTCAGGACTCACCTGAGCCAGCTCTAACTATAAGCTTTATCAAAGAGGAAAGTCTTAAGCCTACTCTTAAATGTGGAGATGGTGTCTGCCTCCTGAACCCAAACTGGAACCTGGTTCCACAGGAGAGGAGCTTGATAGCTGAACGCTCTGGCTCCTAGTCTACTTTTGGAGACTCTAGGAACCACAAGTAACCCTGCATTCTGGGAGCGCAGTGCTCTGGTGGGGTAGTAAGGTACTATGAGCTCTTTAAGATAAGATGGTGCCTGACCATTAAGAGCTTTGTAGGTAAGAAGAATGATTTTAAATTATATTCTGGATTTTACTGGAAGCCAATGCAGAGAAGCTAAAACAGGAGAAATGTGATCTCTTTTCCTGGTTCCTGTCAGAACACGTGCTGCAGCATTCTGGATCAGCTGAAGAGTCTTAACGGACTTTTTCGAGCAGCCTGATAATAAGGAATTGCAGTAATCCAGCCTAGAAGTAACAAACGCATGGACTAGTTTTTCTGCATCATTTTTAGACAGGATGTTCCTGATTTTCGCAATATTACGTAGGTGAAAAAAGGCGGTCCTTGAAATTTGCTTAATGTGGGACTTAAACGACATGTCCTGATCAAAGATAACTCCAAGATTCCTCACAGTGGTGCTGGAGGCCAGGGCAATGCCATCCAGGGAAACTATATCTTTAGATAATGCGTCACGGAGGTGCTTAGGCCCCAGAGCAATAACTTCAGTTTTATCTGAGTTTAACATTAGAAAATTACAGGTCATCCAGGTTTTAACATCCTGAAGGCACATTTGAAGTTTAGCTAACTGATGAGTTTCATCTGGCTTGATCGATAGATATAACTGAGTATCATCTGCATAACAATGAAAGCTTCTGGAATGTTTCCTGATAATATTGCCTAAAGGAAGCATTTATAAAGTGAAGAGGATTGGTCCAAGGACAGATCCTTGAGGAACTCCATGAGTAACTT